ATCAGATTAAACAGGTGAAACTACAATATTAAAAGTTGTTCTTTACAAAATAATTTCCTGAAAATATAAAACCATGTGCACTGCCACAAAATAGTTGAGTAGGTTCTTTCAAATCCTCAATCACCATCAATATGTTGCAAAGATCCAAAAGGCACAAGGAGCTCATGAGCTAAGCACTGCCAAGCTTGAAGTAGTTTTGGTGGGTTTCACTGGGTCCATACGAAAGAGCAGTCAATTGTGTGAAGTTTCTTAGGATGAGTCATTAACAGAAAATCTACAGATAAAAAATGCAAGTTAAAAAATTTGTTAATTATATTGTTTCAGACAGGCAAACAGCACATAAGTATTTCTGCATCACTAAACTAGAACGTGCCTTCAACTCAATGGTTTGTAGTAAAAAAACCCACCAGGTGACATTCTCAAGAAAACATTCCTTCCTAAAAGAGGTAAGAAAAAGATTCTCTCTCTCCCCTATTGCCTGTAAATACGCTTAAGACAAACCTGCAGGCTAAATTAAAGAAGAAAGATATTGCAACTACAGTAAAGCTACAGCACTTCAGGACCACATACAGTAATTGTTATTATTAGTTTTAGTCTCAAACAGAAGTGTTACCTATAACGACAAAGTTAAAGGTTTAAAGCACTGGACATAGCAGATCTTTCTCTTATCACTAAACTACTTACTTCTGAAATTTCTCCATAAGTTTCTTCACCATCTTATCTGTGATCCCTGGACACGTTGCTTCTGCCACATTGATGCTTTTCTCAAGTTCTTCAATTGCTTTCTTTCTGTTAGCATTATTTGTGTCTTGCTGCTTGAGCTGAGGAACAAACCAGAAAAGTTAAAATTCAAAAATTATTAGACATTTGGCTAATACTTTCAAAGAAGATTTTTAAGCCAACACTTACCTCAGCAAACACAGGGGTGATTATCATAGTTAAACAACTCAGGGTTTTAACAAGATCCTGATCCTAGAAGTGAACAAATATGGATTACGTCAGCATACTACAACATACATCAGCATATATACAACACACACACTGCCTCTTAACACAACACGTGTGATTTTATAAATGGAGTTAAGTTTACCAGTATTTAAAATACATTACAAAACCCACAAAGACCCAGTACATCAACAAATATTACAGGATGTTGAAATAGATGCCAGATGAAACATCT